ATTATAGACTGCCTATATCTTGAAGTGGTTGTGACATTTCCAAACATTTAATCTGATTAGTTCACATTTGTCTTGTGTCGAACCCATACTCTTGATTAGATCGTAGTTTGAGGTGAGGTCTCCTTTAACTCCAGTTAGAATTCGACTTGCATCTTGCCGGTATTTAGGTAGATTGTACAGGGTGTAGCCTCGGAATTGGTAGTACTTCAGTTTGTCATCCGAAATGTTAGCTTCCATAATTGTGAAAATGTCTACATCATAGGTTTGTGGGATTTTCTGTACTTGGATCTTTTTGTCCGGAGACATTCCTCCAGCATTCCACTGGAGGATCTGAAGACGTTGTGATTCGCCCTGACGAGGGNGACGAGGGCGATTTTTCTTATAGCCTTTTTTAAAGCTAATCATAATAAATTGAAGTCAAAAACGAATGCCGACCCGGGAGATCAACATAACAAGAGATTTCTGAGTAGTCAGGCTTTATAAAAGTAGCAAACCGCTACAAAGCAATTGTAAAAATAAAGGAAAATAATCACAAAAGCCTTATTTCTAATGATCCAGTCTCTTTCTCGCAAACCCTCTGATCTAAGCTTTTGCGGACACTGCGTAGTTCAGCCAAAGAGTATTGCAACTCTCTAGAAAATATGGGTTTCCATGGTTATGCTCGATGTATGGGAAATAAAATTTGCTTGAAGAAGGAATAGCGATTGATACCTATTCGCGAATCTAATTTATTTGAATTGCTTTCGTTTCACTAAGTCCTCTTTTACTTTCTTTCAGTATGCAAATTAACAAATTCTACTTAAATTGTTTAGGTATAACTTCTATGAACGCTCTTCAAACCAGTCAACCCATGCGCACCCGTCCAACCTCGGAAAATCAGTTTCAGAATTATGAAGTCTGATCATTGCATGATAAATTGAAATATATTTGGTAGGCTTCAATAATTTACTTGCAACAAAGAACTTGCACCTACGACTGAAACGAAAAGGGCATAAATATTTCTTCCTTCAATGAAATAGTTCCATAAAAGTCGACGCTTTNTAATAAATTGAAGTCAAAAACGAATGCCGACCCGGGAGATCAACATAACAAGAGATTTCTGAGTAGTCAGGCTTTATAAAAGTAGCAAACCGCTACAAAGCAATTGTAAAAATAAAGGAAAATAATCACAAAAGCCTTATTTCTAATGATCCAGTCTCTTTCTCGCAAACCCTCTGATCTAAGCTTTTGCGGACACTGCGTAGTTCAGCCAAAGAGTATTGCAACTCTCTAGAAAATATGGGTTTCCATGGTTATGCTCGATGTATGGGAAATAAAATTTGCTTGAAGAAGGAATAGCGATTGATACCTATTCGCGAATCTAATTTATTTGAATTGCTTTCGTTTCACTAAGTCCTCTTTTACTTTCTTTCAGTATGCAAATTAACAAATTCTACTTAAATTGTTTAGGTATAACTTCTATGAACGCTCTTCAAACCAGTCAACCCATGCGCACCCGTCCAACCTCGGAAAATCAGTTTCAGAATTATGAAGTCTGATCATTGCATGATAAATTGAAATATATTTGGTAGGCTTCAATAATTTACTTGCAACAAAGAACTTGCACCTACGACTGAAACGAAAAGGGCATAAATATTTCTTCCTTCAATGAAATAGTTCCATAAAAGTCGACGCTTTTGCGATCCCTATCAGTGATTTCTTGCTTCAATAGAATTAAGTGTTAGTAGTAACTGGATGTACTCCGACTGCTTATAGATTGCTAGAGGTCTACTTAAAACGAGAAAGAAACAATCAGACCAATTACGATCTTTAGTTTCTGTTTTTGATCACGAAAGATGGAGCGTCCAGACAGATGGAACCATAATGGCAATTTATAATAATGAATATTTACCGATTTTAGATCAATCAGGTAAATTAAAAATTACACACGAAGTGATTAATTATTGATTTATAAATAAGTAATTTCATCGTGCGCATTTATTTTTCTTCAATTAAAAGACAAATACGGACTTTCTTATAAAGAAAAAATTACTTCTGATCTGAGAGTTCACTGGAACAAAGGTCCGTATCACTAAAGAAAAAGGTGAAACAGGGTAAACAATTTACGTGAAATGGAATAGGGTTCTAATCGGATGCCATTAGGTCGGTAAAACAAATCGAAATTTCGTTTTTTACTCGACAACAAGACCCTAATTTGTCAATTATCATTTGTAGGAAGTAATTTCAGAATTCAGCGGTTAATAACATTAGACTCTAAGATTATTTTCCATTGACTTACGCATGTGTTTAACCTAATTTGAATAGGTTAGCAATTTTGGATACCATAAATACCCTTTTTTAATGTGCACTAAACCAAATCAATAATATTCAAAAATATGTTAATGGTGACACAAAGTAAAATCGCACAAAAGTATATTATCAAAACTTAAAATTCTCTAGCACTAGTACAAATGATTTACTGGCCGCCTACACACTCAGGCAATAATGTTTCTTGACCATTGTTGAACATTCGCAAACTGGCTGGAAGTTCATCGTAGATTTATTAAACGAACAGATAGTGACTCATATATGAACATTGAGTAAAAGATTTTGAGAACAAATCAACTTATTCACAAGATTGGATTTCCAAATCTGTAACAAAATGTAAAGATTGTCCAAACCAACTTTCCATCTATTTCAATAGATGGCCAATCTGATATTGGTAACATTGATTGTGAAGATTTAATGTCTACTTCAAGCGCACTCGCTAATCAGTTCGATGACTTTCTGTATTAGAC